TGTAGGTCTGCTTGAACCTCTGGGTTAATATGCAGGCTGGACCAATGATAAACAATTCCCCACTTGGGAAGTGGCAGAAGAGTGGCAGGATTCAGGGAAAGACATCTCTGAAGCTTAACATTGTCAGGTAGGAGCAAGGAAGTCTGTAGGCGAAGGTGGCGTTGGGAGGAAAGGTGCTTTGGTTGGGTTTGTTGCAGGATGGCAGTAATGTCATGAGGGGCCAACACTGTTAAGTGGTGGCCGAGAACAAAATCATTGGTCTTGTCCAGGAGAGCGCTGGCGGCAAACACCGCTCGGAGGCAACAGGGTCAAGCATGCAGGAGAAATAGCCAATAGGGCGTTGTCTTGACCCATGTTTCTGAGTGAGAACTCCGGAAGCATGTCCTGACTTTTCAGAGACGAACAGAGTGAAAGGAAGTTGGTAGTTGGGGAGGCCCAAGGCAGGTGCTGAGGCAATAGCTCGTTTCAGGTTGTGGAAGCAGGTGATAGTTTCTTCAGTAAGGTGGAAGGGCTCACTCCTGAGGGTATCATAGAGTGGTTGCATAAGTTTTGATGCCTCTGGGATCCAGGACCTGCAGTATGTTATAAGACCCAAAAAAGCATGGAGAGTCTGATGTGTTGCAGGTAGAGGGAGTTGCAGAATGGCTTGCACACGTTGAGAAGTCAGATGTTTGGTGCCATGGGAAAGGCAGTGTCCCAAGAAGACCACGGATGGTGGCCGGCACCATTGTAGTTTCGATTTTGAAGCTTTGCAAACTGGTGCAGTGAGGAAACACAGGAGGTCTTCTGAGTCACGCTCTGCAGTGAGCAAATCAGGAGCACAGAGAAGTAGATCATCAACATATTGAAGTAGAACAACATCCAGATGAGATCTCTGCCAGGGATCCAGAACAAGAGACATGGCATGAGCAAACTGCGTGGGAGAGTTCTGAGCACCCTGTGGCATAACAGTCCATGTATATTGTTGCCCTTCATGCGTGAAAGCAAAAAGAAAACGGCAGGAAGGGTCAAGGGGAACACTGAAAAAGGCATTGGCTAAATCCACCACAGTGAATATAGTAGAAGTTGGTGGTACTTGGGACAAGAGGGTATGTGGATTTGGAACAATAGCAGTGTCCTTTATAGTGACTTCATTGACAGCACGAAGGTCCTGTACCATGCGGTACTGGTCAGGCTGACCTTTAACAGTTCGCTTTTTAACAGGAAAAAGGGGTGTGTTGCAAGGAGATGTGCATTTGACGAGGGCACCTTTGGCAAGTAGGCTGTCAACTTGCTTGGTGATGGCTTCAGCTTGTGCTGGCTTCAGAGGATATTGTGGTCTACGGGGGGGTAGTGCCCCAGGCAGGAGCTGAACCAGGACCGGAGGTACATGTAAACGGCCAATATCATCCGGGCCGGTAGACCAAAGTTCTTGGGGGACCCGAGCCAGAGCACTGGGGGTGTGTGTGACCCGTGCATTCCCTGTGTTGTCAGTTATGTTTAGCAGGATGGGGAGGGAGCAGAGGGCAGAGGTATCCTTTTGTGATAAGGGGGTTGTTAACTCGACTTGGCCATCTGCAGTGAAAGTAATGGAAGCCTGAAGCCGAGAGAGAACATCGGCACCTAGGAGGTTAATGGGACAGGTAGAGGAAACAACAAACCGGGAGAGGATGTGTGATCCTACGTGTAAGAGTTTAGTAAGGGGGTTACTGCGAGGTGTACCATCTACCCCAACACAGGAGACATCAGTGTCAGATAAAAAGGAAGGGTCTGGCAGGTCTTGTTCCCTAAGAACACTACGGGCTGCACCTGTGTCAACTAGAAAGGTGGTTGGGTGGCCCTCCACGAGGAGAACTACAGTAGCTAAAGGCCCTCCCCCATCCCCCGCAGACACTGCCATGGCAGGGGTTGCTGACACAGGCTTGCCGGTTACCTATTGCAATAAATCTAAATGGGCCTGGTCTGGTCCCTGGTATCGGCGGGAAGTGGAAGGGGGGTTAGCAGAATGCATGGGTGGGCGAGATGGACGGACAGCATGGCGGGGCTGTGGCAGACTGTCTTGAAAATCATCGTTGTCATACCCTTCACCAGAGGGCGAAGAGTAAGCACGAGCATCTGATGTGGACTGCCGGGCGTGGGTGTACTCAGGAGGCGGAGGGGGTGGAGGAGGGGGAAGTTGGGGCAGCTGTGGAAGGGGTAGGGCAGAGAGATAACCTGTGGAAGGGAAGTTATAGCTGGTGGCATGGGGACCAGGGTACCGGGAAGTCTGCTGACGGAACACCCTAGGCTGTGGGCAATCTCTTCTAAAGTGTCCGGGTTGGTTACAATTAAAACAGGTCCTGATTGTTGTGATTGTTCGGTCTCTGGGAAAAGGAAGTGGTGCAGGCAGTGTCTGGGAAGGGTGGTGGTACTGTTGGAGGGGTATCTGAGGTGCTTGGTTAGAACTTGTGATAGGAGTGGAGGTAGTGTACATCAAAGGATTTGTTCTACGTGGTGTGGGTTGTAAAACTGTTTCCAAACCCTTGGCTACCAACAAGAGAGTGTCCAGTGGAATAATTCTATATTCAGGGCGAGCTAGGATTAACCCCTTACGAATATGTTCCTTGAGGCCCGCCACAAACGCTGCAGATAGCATCTGAGTGTGTGCTTTGTTATAGGAGCTGAACCCCAAATCTGAAAAAGTCTGAGTCAACCTAGAGTGGTACTTCTCAACGGTCTCAAGTTTATCTTGAAGAATGTCATTTATGCAAGTAGCCTGATCAGCTAGTTTATCCTGAGCCCAGGCTCGAAGCTGTTCACAGAAAATTTCACCAGAGTGAAAATCAGTATCAGAAGTAAGAGGAGCATCGCTAAAGCTCCGTTCCATAATTGGCCAGTATGCATCACCAGCCTTTATTTCACATAAACTTATGAGATCCCGCCAAGCAGCGGAGTATGTTTTGCGGATCTGAGCCATCCGGCGGAAAAAGGGCATGGGGTGTTTCTCAGGATCAGGGAGTGAAGTCACAAGGGTAGCAGCTTGAGAAGGGTTAAAGGTAACATACATGGGTGGTGCACCATCCGCGCC